CCCCAAAACCCCAAAACCCCAAAACCCCAAAACCCCAAAACCCCAAAACCCCTCTTACAGAAATAAAATTTGAAAAACATTATTGTAATGGAAGCTACTAATGCTGATGCTTCAGCAGAGGATGTCAAGAAAGCCAAGAAGGAGAGTAAAATCTCTGTGAAAAGAACCAATACTGGGATCTTGATCAAGAAATCTACCATGATCGTTCAGAACTTCAGAGATCTCCAGGAAGAATACAAAATAGGAGAGAAACTAGGCAGTGGGTCATACGGTGTTGTAAACTCATGCACTCATCTCACAACTGGCCAGGAAAGAGCAGTCAAGATTATTGAGAAGAAGAAGATCAAGAACATCGCTCAATTCCGAACTGAAATAAAAATTCTTCAGACTCTTGATCACCCTAATGTAATAAAGATGTATGAATTTTTTGAAAACGATAAAGAAATTTTCCTTATCCTCGAGAAATGCACTGGAAGCGAATTATTCGATAGAGTAATTGAAAAAGAATTCTTCTCTGAAAAAGAGGCAGCAGTAGTTTTCAAGCAAATTCTACAAGCTATAAATTACTGTCACAACAATGGCGTATGTCACCGTGATCTAAAACCAGAAAACTTTATATTTGCAACTAAGGAAGAAGATTCTGATATCAAGATTATTGATTTCGGCTTATCGAAGATTTTTGATCCAAGCTCTACAAGTTATGCAGCAATGAAAACAGGATGTGGGACACCTTATTACATTAGTCCTGAAGTTTTGACCCATAATTACAATCATATGTGCGATATGTGGTCAGCAGGCTGTATTCTATATGTTCTTCTCTGAGGTTACCCACCTTTCTTTGGTGATGATGACAGAGAGATCATAGAAGCTGTGAGAATTGGAGAATTTGACTTTGAAGGAGAGGAATGGGAAGATGTCTCTGTGGAAGCTAAAGATCTTATTTCAAGACTCATTTGTAAACCAGAGTTAAGACTCACTGCGAAGGAAGCACTGAAGCATCCTTGGGTTAAGACTTTAGCGAAGAACTCAAAGAAGGATAAGCTAAATAAAATGGATATGGCACATTTGAAGAAGTTCCAGAATCACCAAAAGATGAAGCAAGCTGCCATCACCTTCATGGCTACTCAAACCAGCAGCAAGGATATTGAACACCTCAAACGCGTATTTGAGTCTATTGATAGAAATGGTGACGGAAATATCACCCTCAAAGAACTCAAGGATGGAATGAAAGATGTCAAAAACAAGGAAGAATTACTAGCCATCATGGAGGGAGCTGATACCGACGGCAGTGGCACAATCAATTACACCGAATTTATAGCCGCAACAATGGAACAGAACACGTATCTCAAAGAAGACAATTTAAGAAATGCATTTAAAATGTTCGATAAAGACAACTCTGGAAAAATCTCAATAGACGAGATCAAGCAAGCTCTGGGCTACGGAACAGAAGGACAGATAGAAGACGAGGATGAATGGAACAGGCTGATTACAGAAGTCGATAGAGATGGAGACGGGGAAATTGATTTTGAAGAGTTCATAGCTATGTGGAAAGTCAATTTATAATTAATGAATTATGGCCTTGTAAGTTTGTTTTTCCTGGCTTCGAAATATATTGTCAATCTATCTCAACATTTTTGGGGTTTTGGGGTTTTGGGGTTTTGGGGTTTTGGGGT